AAATATCTCACAAACTGTAAGTCCTAGGTATGCAGAACCTTTAATAAATTTCACCTATTTTTTTACGATGCTTTCAAAAATGCAGTAAATTATAGGGTGTTTCATTTAAAAAAACATAACTTTGATATGGTACGCTTTTCCTGGACACCCTGTATATTTCAAAATATTTTTAAAATGTAGCCGTAATCAACCTACACATACCCACCTAAACAGGTTTCTGTAACATTTGCCGTTTGGTCACTAGCGACCGAGGCGTTACTGGTGGCCCACCCTGTAGAAAATAAACAAAATCGACCCACAACTTCCAGAAAGAAGCCAATATTATTGATAACACAAATACTATGATTTCTAAATTGACCATGCCATGTAAATATTTAATAACTTACTGTACTTTACATAACTGCACTTTCGACATATATTTTTAATATAAATTTATGGCCAATAAATGTTATAATATCAATTTATTATTAGCGGCTGCACAAAAAGTATTGTAAGCGCCGCAGTCAGAAAAAGTATTTAGAAACTTCTCATCTTTTTCAGTCCTAATATCTTCATGCTCGTCTTGCAAAGTACCACTTTCTGATCTTGAAACATAACTACCTATATTTGCACTTGGAAAGAACTGTTTTATTCTCTAATTTCTCTAATTGCATTTAGTTAATCGGGGATTAAAATTTATTCATAAACAAAAGAACAATGAAACATTTACTAACGTAATTCAAATGGTAGCCTTTCCTCTCATTCGCTTTAGAAAATATTTTATTGTTTTACAACTTGACAGTATATGGTTACAGGACATCTACAGGGTGTTTCTAAAATAACATCATACAACTTAAGGGGCTGATTCGACATGGTAAAATAATAGTAATTAGTGAAAATCACCGCCTAATAATTTGTCACCCCTATATTATTTTTAATTGGAGAACTTCGATATCGTCCATCGCTCGGCGTGGTATAAACTAATTATTTTAAGTGACCCCAGAAGGAGGAATACTTAGATTTTAAATCTGGTGATCGAGGTGCTCATATTATATGTCCGTTTCGTTGTATCCATCAATGCGGAAATATCGAATTCAGATGTGAGCGAACAGCAACATTGAAGTGTGGTGGTGCGCTGTGTTGAAACATCTACATGTTTGTTCTTATGTTCAAAGGAACATCTTATAGATAAAGAGCAAGTTAATTTTGAAGAACATATAGGAATAAATTGCCATTTAATGGCCCATCAAAAAGTTTAAGGCCCATAAGGCCCACAGTTTAATAGAAAATTTACGCTGATGCTTTGTTTCAATAATCGTGTGTTGATTTTCATATGCAGATGTGTAGCGTATTATATAAATTCCGTTACCAGTAAATCCTGCTTCATCAGTAAACAATATGAGGTTAATCACTTGGTTGATGTCCTGTTATTTTTCTAAGATGCGATGATACATTTCCAATAGCCTTGGCTGATCATCTTCATAAAGAGCCTACAGTGTTTGCATTGGGAAGTACTCTCCAAGAATGAAGTATTCCTACTTCAACATCAGTTTTTCTAGACTAGTGCTTGGGTTTTCTTCAATCATATTAAGAACTCTTCTTTCTTGCTCCACAGACCTAACAGTTTTGGGATGTCTTATACTTTCGTCAAAACCATTAAAAGTTCCACATTCAAGTTCATTGAAGGTTCGAAAATGTTTGAGATTGAGGAATATTTCTTCTTGAATCCAATTATATCGTCGAGCGATTTGATCTTCCACGACAGACATACATATCACGATATCCCACATTTGAGAAATCATAGGCCATTTTTTAATTAAAAATATACCGATGAAATTTATTAGGAATATCGTCTTAAAAATTGAATTGATACAAAAAATACCTTTGACATTATTTGAAACGTAATAATAATAACTTATTTTCCATTTACAGCCAAAGGGTTCTATTTAGCGACTTGTATAAAGAGTACCATTTTTAAATAGTTCTTTATAAACTTTCAAACGATTCATCAACATTAGCATTAGTCACTAAGGCAAAAAAAGTTTTATTTTATTTTATAAGAAAGAAACAAATAGGTTATAGGAACATAATTACATGTTTCTAATTATTATAAAACTAACACCACAATAATAAAGATATTAGGGATTACTTAGTCAGAACCAAACCGGGAATATCTCTCAAGAAAAATCCGTATTAGAAATGGCTTTCCGAAACTTGACCAAGAAAGTATCAAAAATGCCTATTGATATTCTATCGTGGTGTTTATTAACAATTTCACATATACTGTTAATCAATGTTTTAGTATTTGTATTAAATATTATTTTCGTGGCTCGTATCCAGTGATCAGGTATAGTTCGCCTAATATTAAGAAAAGTAATGGCCTCAAATTGGAACCTTGAGGTACACCAGACCCAACCGAGAATATCTGTGCATCAGTACCTTTATAATAATAATAATATTCTTTATTCATATATAGCATAAAAAAACATAACAAACGAATTGTTTCCTATGCTGTAAATATGATGAGAATAATTTTATCATATGTTCACTTAAACCGACTGATAATTTAGACAATAATATATCATAATTTATACGATCAAAGGCTTTGTCAAAGTCTGTGGTGTCAACTTGTTGTCCTTCCTCAAAAACCAAATTAATTCTATTAACAAGAGAAGCCTAGTTTGTCTCTATTGATCTACATAAAAAAAGCCATGCTATTGTGGAGAAATAATATTTTTTTACGAAGCCATCTATTTTTTCATAAAGTATAAATTCAAAAATTTTCGCAGTACAATTTAAAATCGTTATAGGCCTATAATTAGTGACCAAATACTTATCATCTTTTTTACTTATTGGAGTTACTCTAGCTATTTTAAAAACCCTTGGAAATGTACCACAATGTAAGACCTTTTGATAAATTATTATTAATAAAGGATATAATAGGAGCTCTCTCTACAAGCTTTAAATATAATATTTCAGGGTATACCATCTGGACCAGATGATTTTTGGGTTTTAGTTTTTTAAAGGCATCTTCTAGATCTTTCACACCAACATGAACGTCGTTCACGTGACTTAAATTAATAGTTGAAGTTATTTAGGTAAACTGCCTACTAGCTGTTGAAATTTTCTCTAATTATCACAGTAGAGCTTAAGCTACGTAGAGCATGTGCCAACCATGAGGCTGATATTAATTAAATTAAACAACATAAAAAAGTTAAATTAAAAAGTTGAACTTTGACAAACTCTATCTTGAAAGGAACAGATATTTCGATAAAAGAATCCTTAAATAACTACTATTATTTTAACATACTGTGTCACGCTCTTAACCTAGACGCAGGATTTTTGAAACACCCTATATATTTGCTTTTTGTGAGATGTCAAACTAGTATCTAAAATAATTATAATTAACACTTTTGGTTATTTCAGGCCACGGAGTGCAAAAATACTCGTAACATGTGTATCTCAGGATCAAAGTGATTTTTGAATCCTAGAATGAATGTCACCAACTAACTTGACCCTGGGGATTAAAAAAATCTCTTAGATCCTTGCTATCTGTTTGTATAACACACTATTCTCTAGCTGTAACTACTGTATGTCTATTATCGGTACATAAATATCAAGTAGAACTAACAAGATAAATTATATAAAGAGAAATATATTTACCTGCACATAGTGCTGCACGCTCTCCAGTAACATACCATACATATCGATTAGATTAATAATTCCTGGTGTAGTTATCTTGATAGTGCCAAGCGACCAATATTTGCTTGAGTCCCGATATGAATGTCTGAATTCTATTAGTCGCTCTACCGAAGAGCCCTGTTCGTGTCTCTTCATGAACCAAGTTAATTAAATTCATTCTTAAAAATATCATTTGTATTAACATGTCATGTTAATTTACTTAGATATATCACGCATAGTGCTTGGCCTTAAGAGAAATTGTTCATTAGAGGAAAGTAAATTAAAAAAATTAATTTAGAAACGAGCTGTTTGTAGTCTTAAGATAAATAAATGAGACCATAAAGTACGTGAACTAATTAAGAGATATCGTTTTCACAAACTTTTTATTTATCTACAATAATATTGTAATATTTGAATGTTTGCATGTTTAAACTGTTTCATTTTACTGTATGATGATTTTTCGGGTTCTTATGCCGTGGCCTACCTGGTCATTGCCAGTTCCAGAATTACCTTTCGCTTCCTTAGGTAGGAGCATCTTTGACCTGCTCTTGTTGTTATCGGGCTAAGTTTTGTGGGGGGCGAACCAGCTATTAAAACTTGTAGGTCCCTCCTTCATGTTCATTTCCGTTTTTATTGGGTCTAAAGTCCACTGTTTAATTTTAATTTACCTAAATACTTTTTCTGTACTACTCACTCCACAGAAGCGGATATAAAAAGTAGAACCATGAAAATATGAAACGGTAAATGCTTAAATCTTTACTTACCAGGCTAGCTTCTATTAGATGTCACTGAGTTTGATTTTGGATTTCAAAAAATGTAAATTTAATTTTAAAAGATTATTCTTGATCTCGAGTTGAATTATATTTTAAATTTAATAATTTTAATGATAATTAGATTAATAATTTTATTTTCTGAAAATTTTAATAGAACATGATGACTTATCTCAGTAGTCGGTTCTAAACGTAGTGAAATTAATTATTAAAAAAAATGTTTTAATATTTAATTAATTTTGTTTAAAAAGTAAAATAGTATTGTTGTAATCTCGACTGAAACATATATATTGAAACAATAGATTATAAATTTATAAATTCTCACTAATTCCCTTATCTAACCTGCGATTCCTTATTTCTAATATCTTCATAGTTTCTTATTACCTAAATCTACACTTTTACTGTCCTTCTCTGTCCACGGTTTCTTCAGTAGTACTTTCCTTTCTGTAATCTCTCTCCTGTCTATCCTCCTTCCTCTTGTCCACTTGATCTCTCATCTGTTGACTTGTTCCTCCTTCACTCTCTTCTACAACTCTGATGGCTGCAACTGCCTGAATCACCTTTATGGCTCCTACAACTTATTTCCTTTTTTAACAATTCAAATAGTTATTTTACTAACCTGACTATTTTACTATTATATTTAGTTATCTGTCAAATTTTGACTTCAACCGTCTTTTTCGTTTTTCCAAACAAATTTTTCTTTCCTAATCTTTTAATTCTCACTGTTCTCCTCTTCTTTCTTGATCGTTCCTGAATGAACAACACTAACTTTGAGCTTGTTTAATTTTTAAAAGAATTCCTCCATTCCTCAGCAATTTATTTCCATAGCTTATATTGCTTTCTTTTAATCTTCTTTTAATTAGTTCGCTTCTACTTATTTAATCTTCTTTTTGGTTTTGACTTTTATATTTAATAATTCCTCTTCTTATTTATCGATTCTTATTATTTTTTTCCATTTCCTTAACAACCCCCATTTTTTTAAATCACTGCACTCTTATCTCTAATTACAATTTTTCTTAATCAATCCTTTTCAATTTCAATCAGATTATTACTTAATTTTTCTTTTGCTACATTTTATTATTTTAAGAACATTTTTATTAATTTAGACTGAGATTTCATCAAAATTTACATTTTATTATGAACTGTCAGTTTTCATATAACTGTTACCTAAATTATCATTACTATTTCGCCACCATCTATCCAGTATGTCATTACTTGATGTATTTTAAACTTAACTTCCATTATATTTCTATCTGTTACAATATACATAGAAGCCTTTGAGAAGAAAGCCCTGGAATCCATAACGTTGAAGCCTAAGTGCTGGTACCGATATGTTGACAACATATCGGATCATCTGGCCCTACGGACGGACACCGTAGCGGATTTCCTGGATCACATCAATGGGATACATCCAGATATCCAATTTACCATGAAAGTAGAGAAAAATGCCGCCCTTTCCTTCTTGGATGTTTTGGTTGAGAGGAAACCACATGGCACTTTAGGACATCAAGTATATAGGAAGCCAACACAGACAGATATCTGAATGCGGAGTCCCACCACCACCCAACCCAGAAACAGGGGATTATAAATACCTTGATTCATTGGGCGCGAATCATCAGCGACACTTGGCCGAGGAACTAGAACACCTACGCACGGGCCTGAGAGGGAATGGTTACACGGCGAGAAATGTCGAACGACCTATCAGGAGGAGATATACACTCATGGAGAAACGGGAGTACTTAGTATCTACCTTGCGTGAAAGGTTGTACAGATATAATCGGACGTCTTTTGAAGAAGAGGACTATCAACACAGTATTCAGCACTGTAAAGAAATAAAAAATAATATAGAATAGTATAGAATAAATATAATAATAAAGAATAATTTCAATAGGGACGGTGGCGTGGATCTGCCAGGTATATGGAAGAGAGTTATCCGTGAAGGTAACCCACTGGAACATCAACAACGCGTACGAAGTCAGCCACCGGAACATCATGGATTAGTGACCACATCAAATATAAATAGTGACAAAATTAGTAGATCTCCAGTTTCAGGGTGACTTCTGAAGAAGAGAGAGATATGTCTCTCGAAACGTCAAGAGTTGTAAATCGACGAGGTGGAAACCAGCCCGAAAATCATTTAATCATTAAATGCTTAAGTTCCAATTTTTTTTATAATAACTAATGAATCTTATTATTGGTCATTAAATTCAATGCTGTCCTATAAAAAATATAATTTTCGCGATGTGTAGGAGCTCCTGCCCTGAATACTGCCAAAATAATTTGAAATCTTTGTCCGGATCGAGTTGAGAAACAAATCATATGGGATCCAGAAGATCCCTGTAGACGGAAAAGTCTGGGTGTTCTACGTGGATTTGTTCCTTAGCTAATGTCTCCCAGAATATTTTACTAATGATGAATAAATTTATCAACATTTTGTGTCGTAAGAGGAAATTTTGATGAGGATATAGCGTTCATCGAAAAATGTGTGTAAGATTACGCATTTGTGTCACTTGACAATCAAAGCACGTATGGAAGATTATCAAGTGACGCTACAAGGACTGCATTTGTTTTGCATAGTATGCTACATCAGGGCGAAATGATTTTAGTTTCCAAGTGCAACACACTCTTCGTGTCAAAACGAATGAATATTCCTGTTGTGTCACGAGTTATTGGTAGCAGGTGAAACACAATCTTGTGTTTTAATGTAATCTTGATCATGTTGTTTTCATAATTTTTAATTTTACGGAAAATCAAGTCAGTGTTCCAAACAAAATTACTAGTCAAGTGACTCATTTATGAAAGTTCTGTATTACCATTAAAGAAAATATGTGGAGCATTTGTTATCATTATTAAAGCACGTCGACGTCCACAAATACGGTTTTTGTATTTAAGGTAAGGTAAAGGTAAGTATCCACAAATGTTCGCACATAGTTCTAGATCACCCAACGGTCAGTTTGCGGTCAGTAACCTTCAAAGATATATTAATTGAATCTCATTTTGGTGTTGATTTAAATTTAGTCGAGTTAATCCCATTTTTAAAAAAGGGATAATTACCGCAAGATTTCGATTATTTCTTACTTTGGTAAAATAATAGAAATAATTTTGAAAAATAGACTCTACAGTTATTTTGAATCGAACTGTTTTTTGTTAAATAATCAGTATGGCTTCCGCCGTGGTAGATCTACCATATAGGCCTTACAGAAAATTGTTGAATATATAGTAATGGGACTAGAAAGCTGAGAACACGTAGCTGTTACGTTGTGTGACTTGACTAAGGCATTTGATTGTGTCTCTCACGGCTTACTACTGCGGAAGCTAATCTGGTATGGTGTTAGAGGTTGCGCCCTCAATCTGTTCTCAAGTTATTTGAAAAACAGACGTCAGTGTGTTACAGTTAATGGCAATACTTCCAAGTTTAACCGTATTGACCACGGTGTTGCGCAGGGTTCTGTTTTGGGGCCCTTGCTTTTCGCAATATATCTTAATGACTTTTGCTTTGCTATCGCACCTAATAAGTGTGTACTATTCGCAGATGACACCACTCTAATTAATATAAATAAAGATTCCTCATGTCTAACTGAAGATACATATAACATGTTATCTAAAGCCATAAATTGGTTTTCGTTTAACAATCCTAAAATTAATAGAAATAAATCCCAGAGTATAACCACTACTCCAGGGCATGTAGAACATAAGTATATTAAAATCCTTGGTATTACAATTGATGATAAATTGACTTGGTCTGACAATGTTGAGTCCATGAATAAGAGGTTGTCTGGAATAGTTTTTTTGTTAAGGCAACTGAGAGAGCTGATTAGCACTGAGATCAGTTTATTTTTCCCTCATTAATTCCATCTTGTCTTATGGTATTGTGCTATGGGAGGGGCTGCTCTAGAGCTTTAAAAACCTTTAGAATCCAAAAAAAACATTCGTATTCTGCCAACGTAGGTTAGAGAACACTGTCGCCAACTTTTTGTGAATCTTGCAATTATGCTCTTGCCATTGCTATTTGTTTATTAGTGTTTATTGGATATTCATAAGAGTATTGCCAGTTATACGGTTCAAACGGATATACATAATTACTGTACTCGTAGTTCTAAATTCTTGCGGCTACCTAGATATCGCTTAGCACTGACTGCGAGAAATTCCTTAAATTTAAACATGTACAATGTCCTCCCATCACATGTAAAATCACTATGTTTTATCAAATTTAAATTGTGTATAAAGAATTATTTGTTGTCAAAATGTTTTTAT